TCGTGCTCATTTCGCCTCGTTCAAACTTAGCAAACCACTTTTTAACGGCTGMTTTCCGTGGTGCAGAGTAAACACATGTTGATCAATACGAACCTTGGTTTCAATAGCATTTTTTCGCCCCAAAACCAATACTTTATTAACACATGGAATTAAAAACTAAACTATTAAAGACTAAAAATCATATGGATTTAATACTAGTAGSGCCTTCTCCGCGTCAGGCCGATGACTTTTCAGTTCACCTGTTATTCATAGAAGTTAAATAGTGTAAATGAAGACAACCCTAATGTCTGCTTATACTTTTCTGTTAAATTCTGTAAAAAAAATTATAACTATTTTCCTTCCAACTTTCAACCAAGTTTAGCAGTAATAGCCACATCTCTGTATGCAACCGTTGAAAATGTAGGAATGTGCATACGTACATACGTATGTATATGTATATTGTATGTATGTATATGTATGTTGTATGTATGTATTTAAATAACTCAACACTGTCAGGTAGCCAAAAGAAAAGAAGCTGTCATTTAACTCTGTAGTTTTTTCTATTTATTTACATTTAATAACGCCTTATAAAAAACAATTTTGACCAATTTCCAAAGAAAACACATACATCCAGCAACTCGGTGTTTTCATAGGCAAAACGGATGCACACAAAGATACAACAGACGAAAAGCAAAAATTAAAAAAAAAACTTATGAAATAAAATAAAATACAAGTTTGAAAGAAAGGTCTGCTAAAGTCTTTACTTTAGACAAAACCAACTGTAGATGATCGGGAAGCGCGGCAAGGAAAACATCCTACGCAAATATGAGTGTTTGTGTTTGAGACTACGCTCATCATGGTGCGTCGCTGCAGCACTGCTTTATGGCGAACGCACAAGAAAATTTGTTGTGGTTTCTGTAAATTCATGAAAATTATTGTTTTTGTTATTTTTTTTCTGAACTCAGCAAATTTTGTCAAATCATCGGCATTGTTTTTTTAACCAACCTCTATGTCCGTACACACGTTTGCAAGCAAGTAAAGGCATAGATACACATACACATACATATATACATACGATACAGATGCAAATACGTGGTTAACTTTTTTTTCTTAAATAGTGTACGTAACTGCGTGTGTGTTTGATTGTGTTGTTGCTGACATATTTTTATTGCTTTGGAGTGAGGTCGATAGAAAGTTGAGTCGCGGGCGCCTGCTCAGAAGATGATGACCGTTTTTGTTTCGAAACAGCAATGTTTGCATATACAATATGTATGTTTGTAAGCGTGTAGTGGCTTGAAACTCGGCTGTAGGTAACGCTGCACATGTGTATATTATGCATTATATACATACATATGTAAATATATAAAAGTATAAAAGTAGTCATGTGTGCACTCCATGTTCCGGTCACTGGCTGGTCGACGGTATCAAGCCGTTCTATTTTAGTAGTACCGCTTGGCATTAGTTCACATATTTAAAGCGACGTCCAGCATTGTCACCAGGCAGAGGCCAGCGGGATTTGCGAAATTTCTGGCCCGCTCCTAGTCGACATACGTTGCTGTCGTGCTGCGCTCACATATGTACTCGCACTAATRACGGTCAATATGAGCACATATGTATTTCATTAATTATGCCTACGGGGGGTGCTGACATTAGGGATCTTTTACTAAATGTTTATTTCCGTTTTTTTAGTTTTTACTTATGTGTTTTCTTACTCTCTCCTTCTCTCTAACTATTCGCAGTCCCATGCACAGTGATTCGACACCCGCATCTTGCGTCAACGATTACGACACACAAAGTTATCAAGAAACTCCAGTTATGTCACAACTTCAAGTGCCCACCATGACGCCGGCGACAATGGCGGCGGTCGGTGCAACAACAACATCCGGCTATCAATATCCTCTGCACAACCATCATCCTCATCCACACGCCGCTTTTGGTGATTATGCCACCGCCGCTTATCCAMCGCATTTACACCCACAAGCGCATTCGCACGGCCATCCCGGTCCGCATCCTCACGCGCATCCACACCCGCACACACATACACATCATGTACCTCCTCCTTACCATCAACACTACGGCGCCGTGCAGTGGTATATGCCAACACCAGCCACACCTGCAATGACCAATGGCAATGCGATGTGTGCTCCAGGCAGCAGCAGCGTCTCACCCAGCGCTCCCGGTGCTTACGGTTTGCCAGCCGCGCATCCCACAGCTTACAGCTACAACTATCAACAGCCGAGCGATGTTTACGGTATGAATGGCGTGGGTGGCACGAATGGCGTTGGCAGCCTCGAAATCGCCAGCAGCAAAAGCGACTACACTTCCACACCATATGTGACGCCGTCGCCCACCTTGGATCTGAACAATTCGACAGAGATAGGCGATCCGCACTCAGCCACATCGGCGATGACAGCTAAATTAACGGCATTGCCATCGAAAGTTAGTGGACATGGTAAGCCCACGGTGGTGTCACAATCGCTGCAGAACTTAATGGATACGACAAATAACGGTTCCTCAATGCAGCAGCATTTAGCCAATAACGGTGCAGAAGGTTTGCACAATATAAATGGACATTTGAGTAGCCAAAAAARCGTCGCCGACAATGTACAGGTTTCCAACGAGTCTATTGGAGGAAATACCGGCGGCAGCGGAGAGTGTGGAGTTTCTAAACGCAGTAAGTTTAGTTCTTTATATRCTTTTGAGGTATACAACAATGCCCATCAGTCATTCAAATGACATTTATGTTAATATATTTGGTGTGTTTAACTGGTAGGCAAAAACTTGTCAACTAGACTATTTGTATGGTAAAATTTTAAGTACTATATATATCTATTTTTATGAAATCAGACATTATATTTTAAAGGGCTGCCTTTTCATGGGATGTATTTACTTCTATAGATCCATATTTTAATATTTTTCTTCAAAGAAGTTTTATGCCATATTTTGTAATAAAGTGATTAGAAAAATTAGTTCAAAATTAAAGGGTGATCTATTTCGAGGTTCTCTAAAAAGAACTTTCTTTTTTAAAAGAAAAAAAAAAAAAACACAGAAACTTCAAATTTAATCATTCCCCATTAAATTTGAAGTTTATGTGTGTGTTTTTTGTCCAATTTTCGATGACTCGTTCGAGTATTTACCCTGGTAACTGGCGAATGACACGCGCGAAGAGGATTAATGCGAAGTGGAAGTCGGCCTCATCGCTAATTGAATATTTTGTCATGAGTTCTCCCTTCCCTCATTTATCGATTTCAGAAGATAATTGATTTTGAAGTCCTAAAACCCACCTTTTAATTTTACATAAAAATTCTGGTGATTGTTTGGTTTATATTAAATGTTACTACCTGTTTGCAGAAGTAATCATACTAACCATATAAATAAACTTCAAAAATGGAACTGCTATTTTTGAGAAGTACCTTTTCTTTGGTTTCTTKTAAATCATTGCCATAATATCAGTGAGAAAATTCACCATATTTTAACTTTTCTTTAACGGCTTTCAACCTTTAATATCAGCTTGTTTTCCATGTTTTTCAGGAGACACCTCACAAGTCACTTCCTCGCGGTCGGARCTACGCAAGAATGGCAAACCGCGTTGTAAGCGCAAACCACGCGTGCTTTTCTCGCAGGCTCAAGTATTGGAGTTGGAATGCCGCTTCCGTATGCAAAAGTATCTAACGGGTGCGGAGCGTGAAGTCATCGCTCACAAACTGAACTTATCGCCGACACAGGTAAAAATTTGGTTTCAAAATCGCCGTTACAAGTCGAAACGCGGTGAAATCGACGGCGACACAATCTCTGTGAAATTGAAAGCGGACAGCGGCGCGACGGGCGTAATGACGTCGGGTGGTGTTATGTGGGGCCAACTGCATCGCCAGCATCAAACACATCCACAGCAAACAGCGCTGCAAGCGATGCATCACTCATAACACGCAGAGCAAGGTGGATACTGGCAACACATACACATACATACTTCCGGTATTTATTTACGTGTATGCATACGCAGTTCGCTCTGAGCAAGTATATTTAAATTATTCAGTGCAYATTTTAGAATTAAGTTTTGATTTTTCGTTTTAAAAATTTGCAATAATTATGGAAATTCGGCTTACGCGGAGTACCTTCGGAACAAAATGAAATTAACAATTGTAGTTGGAATATCCGAGCATAATGTATTTTAATATTAATAGTTAMATAAGTGAGTTGTAAATAAAATGACAATAATTGACTTGGGTCGAGAAAATAAAATAATAAAGTGCCATTAAATAAATTAAGAACAATTTTTTATTTGATCGCTGGCGAAATTTATGGAACAAAAGAGTCATTATKAAAATAGGAAATAATTCTTATATATATGTATATCAATATGTGGATGAAACAGCGATGWTGGAATGGGCCTGTCGACTAAAGTTGTTTACTAAGCGGATAATTAAGAATACACTTGACTTCCAAAAAACAAGTAGGAGAGGCTGGGTCGACATTACATTCATAAGACTCTTTTCGGATTAGGATACAGTTTGCGCTGAGAATTCTTTGATATTTCCATTTGTTATCAATATGGACCAATGTATGCAACGGGAGCTTTATTCGATTGTAAGGCTCCATTTGTAGCCAAGAAAGTACGCAATGCTTATTGCCTTCATGGGGGTATTCTAGGTTGCARCCAAGAATTTCAGGTAGTTTTTGAAGTGTCGTAAAAAGGAAATTAATAATTTTACTATCCATTTTACTATTTTTAATTAATAAGCATTATAACAATACACAAAAAATTAAGACAGTTAAAGATTCTAAAAATTATCAGCTAACAAAGTGGGGGTGTCAAAAATTTGGTATGTGATCATACTGGGATTTCAACTCTACTAGCAATCTGAAAAAAATAAAATAAAAAATGTTTAATATAGAATAACTTTATAATGTCTGAAACTGAGAAAACGCTCGAAAAAAAATCACGAAATAGCGACTGCCAGAAAAAAAAAACAATTTTATACCAATTTTTTTGACTGTTGCTAGTTATAGACATATGAAAACACTCTAAAAGCTTCGGGTCAGCAAAATACCTATATCATCGGAAATAAATAGAATTTTGAAAAATCCTTTTGTAGACATAATGTATACTATTCTCTATAAGTCCTACCAAAAATATATTTTAGTATTCTATCATTAAAAATGCACTTTAGACTCTTTAGTTTTCATGGCTATAAGAAAATTGAGGCTATCATACTTATATAGGGCAACAACTTTGGTTCCATGCTGCTACTCTAGATTTATAGTCTGGAGTTGTTAGCTTGGCAGCTGAGACTTTGTTAATGCTGTTAAATACTTATAAGACATCTTTATCCCAGTTGAGGATTTTTTCGACACYCGCGAGCTTGCTTGAAATTTTGTGTTTGTAATGGAATCACAGGGACGGAGTCGTAGGAAATTTTGCAGAAATATTTTTTGGCCTCTAGTCTATCACGAACAGAAATAAGTGGGTGGCGTAAAGCATTCTTTGAAGGTTRTGAAGTCATCGAAAATTGAAAGATGTGTCAATTTTGGGTGTTCTTGATAACGTAGCTGAATACCATATATTCATTACACGCATCGTTACTGGTGACGCTGAAGTCGAAACTGTTTAACAATCTAGCGAATGGCAAGACAAAAATGATTCGATGTCGAAAAACTAAAATTCGCTAAAGGGCTAAAGGCCTAGAAAGAACATTATTTGGCATTGTTATTTGAAGATTATACTTTTGTTGTTTTTTCCGCATGAAATGGCTTTTCAAGAGTTCACAGAGCGAAGCGATGTCGCTTGGGAAGGTTGAGCGGCTTCAGTTTTAGCCCAACTGTACGCTTTGCACGGTTGCAATTTATGATCTCGACCGAGTTGCTGCGAACGACGCCGAATAAACTTTTCACGGTCTTCGTATACGCTCTCAGCGACGGCTATGCGCTGCGTGCTGAACGTGGTCCATTCGGTCGAGTATTATCCAATAATGAACGCTGGGTCTCAAGATATTTGATGGTGTTGTGAATAGTACACTCAGTAAGCCGATTATGTTGACCATAAGTTGAGCGAAGCGTGCGAAACACATTCTTTAAAGAATTTGAGGAAATGCCAAACAAAATTAATATGATGGCTTGAAAAAAAGCTATTGAAAAAAGTACTTCTACTTCTATCACTTTTTATTTCGAATTGATAAGGTATCAGAAGAGTGTAGAGCTTCTGATGGTATAGTGTGATTTCCTAATGTTAATTCTGGTTCTTTTTTTCTAGGAAAAATAAACTTCAAACTTAATATTTGAGCAGAAGAAGCATTATTTTGGATTTGTCATGAATTACCACTGAATTAAATACAAAAATATTCTATTGCGTCATTAATACATTAGAAATCATTTTGGAAAAAATCGCAGGTGACTACAATTACATGATGAATCGATGAGTAAAAGAGCGCCACATAAATGCAATCTATATACAAATCAATATATATACATGCATACGTGCCCATGTTCATATATCAGAACAACATTAAAATATGAACTCGTAATGTTCTGGTAGTTTGAAAACAGCACACGGATGATTTAAACCGATTTGGCATATTGAACTGGAGGTCTGTTATGTGATTCTGAACAGTTTGCCAGTCTATCGATCCATTAGCGGTCACATACGAGTATAGACATACAAAAGGCAGGCAGCAGGCTGGCAGACGGACAGGCACACCAACTTACGTGAGACAGACACAAAAAGAGCGGGGCCACAGTAGCGGATATGAGTACGGCAATATAAATTAATTTTTATCAAAAGCAACGATCAATTTTCGAAATATGAAAGGCATCGAAATAACAGCAGCAACGCCATTGATGGCCTCTCTGATGGCAAGAAGATGCAACATTTTCGATTTTTTTAAACCTTTTATTTAACAATTTAGCTGATACGGGTGTGTGGACTGGTGGCTAATGGTGGAGCGCAACAAGACATTTGTGGCAATGCAACACACTAGGGCAGGGAGTTACAAGTTGCAATAACAAATCCGTTGTTGTTTTTATTATTTTGAACGCCACAAGTACTTCCCCCCAACACTTTCGCTTTGTTATTTGCCCTTTCGACACAGTGGAATGCAACTGTAAAAGATTGTGTGGCAATATGCAGTACACACAAACATAACTGTAAAGATGTACATATAGTACTATATATGAACATTTTAAGTTCATAAATAAGTGAATACTCAATGTAGCTGACATTTATGACAGAGCAACAATAGCAACAAGCCATCACAGCAGTATGCTGGGGACGAATTGCGGTGTTGCACGGATTGTGCGGCAGCGGCAAATCGAAGAGGCAAGGGTTTTCCGCATTTTAGGGGCATTYTCGAACGCGTGAGTGGCGTATCAATTACACAATAAACATACGCCATTCACAAATCGCAAACCCCCTTACATACACACAAACATACATATGAATATAGGTCTATTAGCTCCTTTACAATCAGCCTCCAATAATATATTTCTATACAAATATGCATACATACAGACACTTTGGTGTTTATAGACATCCGGATGCGTGTCCATGCGCCGATGTCATGGAGTCATCAGCGCGATTGCACTTGCTAGGGGGTAGCACTGGAAGCAGCTGATTACACTTGAGGCTCGCCTCGATTTCAATTTTGTTTGACTTGTTTGACACCCTTCGCTTTGGAGTATAAAGTTTCAGAAAATAATATGAAATATATACTATGTATATATATGTATGTATATACCAATTTATGTAGGTATATATGTACATATGTATAGTCACTTGCTGTGAGGGCGGTGAAAATAGAAATCACAACGTTTATAGGTTAATTCAAGARGATTAATTTAATTTAAACATTTTACTGAAACAAAATTTTTATTTTCATTTTGTCATCCAATATTATATTTATTTGGCGTAAAGGCTATATGGATTGTATGAACGTAGACTAAAAATCTCAAATCGTCGTTCTATATTTCTCACTTGAGGGGTTATATTAAACTGTGAATTTGAAATACGCTAACTCTWATTAACAACGATATGTACCAAACAAATTTTATTTCTTATRTACTACTATGAGCAAAAAATATYTTAAAATTAAAATTTTTTTTTTCAAAATCTATGTCGTTTTCCTAAAAGTAGTCCCCCTTGGTCCCTATACACTTGCGCACATTTTTTTTTTTCAATCTTCGATTTCCGGAATAGTGTTTTCAATTGACTCAATCGGTTTCACCAGAGCTGACGTTTTATTTGCTGAATGCTGAGAAGTCACACGGCGCTAAATGAGATCATTACAGTGATTGCGGCACGATATTGRTTGAAAATTTTGCGAATTTGGCGCAAAAGCCAAGAGTTTTTCGCCCATAATTTTTCTCTCTTTTTACAAATAGCTTCGCGCAAACGACGCATAACAATCAAAAGTATGCCTTATGGACAGTTTGACCGGCCGGAAAGAATTCGTAGTGCGATTTCGGGTCGTAAGCATAGACCTCAAATCATAGGCTAATCGCCAGTAATAAATTATGGAAGTCGGAAAGCATTGTTTCACAGACGTTAAGGCGACGCTGTTTTTCGAAAAAATTGAGTGATGCTGGAACAAATCATACTTACACTTTTCATACGCCCAAATGATCTTTCAAATTGGTTTTCACTGCCCCTTCCGATATTCCAACGATGTCAGTAAGATCTCTGACTATTAATTCTCAAGCAATAATTCCTTTATTTTTTTTTGACGTGTTGATCATCAGCTCAATATTTTGTACCAATCAGAAACACTTGCACGCGACAAATAATTATCACCGAAAGCCTTTTCCAACAACCTGATTAAATTTAATTCCACATATAAAATTTAAATGTATAGTTAACACTTATGATTTTTTAATGTGATGTTTGGCACAGATGATACTGACAGTTATACAAACCTAGAAAAAAAATAGTTCGTCCAACTTTATACCWGAGTTA